AGATGGAGTCATGATTGGGCCATTTAAAGGTTTTAATAAAGAACCCTGTATTATAATAAAGATCTTGTACAATAATGCAATTGAGAATCAAGATAATCTAAAATTGGTATGCATTTCGATTTCCTTAATCTAACTATACTGGGTGATTTCCCTCTGGCCCCTTCATAGAAAAAAAGATTGGAAAGCCTTTGGTCAACGAAAAGTGTTATATCTGCAGTAATACAACCAAAACAGTGTCACTGATTCCATAAAGATTCCACAGACATTTTTGACAAATGCCTCATATGCTGGTCACAGATGACAACTTTGTCTGATCTATTTTCTACATTATGACACAGCTGAACACGAGAGGTGACAAACACTGTCTATTATATTACACAAAGTCATAAAACAACAACATTATACCTAACAAGAAAAACCTTCCACATGTTTGGCAAACATTGCATGTTGAATCCATCATCTAGAACAAGACACGCTGCTCAAGGCGCAGAGAAGCATTACTAAAAATAATATTGTTTATTAAGAATACCTTCTTCTATAATAAGTAAATATACTGTAGCTGTCCCCAAGTGCATATATGAATAAAAACTATACAAAGGGGTAGACATTTAATTCAGTTTCAGATGAGTTTGTTCCTTGAAGAATTTAATTTTGTCATATGCAGTATGTTGAACCGATTAGCTTTTGGGATTTGTTATATTTGGCATTCGTTTCATATATTAGTTGGTCCAGGAGTATTCAAAAAATGTTGTAGTTTTTTTTGGAAGATTGCTATATATTTTGGGTGGATTCAATATTTATATATCAAAACTATTCTGAAGGATTTGATATTTTCAATGGAATAAAAAAATCCAAAATTCAGTGGCCCCTACTTTTTCAAATCTAAGAATTGCATTAGACTGTGGAACTGAACTGACTGACTGTGATAATTACAAATTCAATTTAAATCACAAATTGACTTGAATCCGAATTATCAAATGAATTTGAAAATTTAATTTCCCCATGGGCCCAAACTACTATCGGATCATGTGATGTCATCCAAATGAAATAAATGCATTCGTTAATTTCGTTATAACTTTTTTCAGATTCGTTTACATTTGTTACTATGCTCATTTGGAGATTCACAAACATCCAGATCTTCAAAAATCTAATTTTCGAAAGAAAATAAATTCTCTACAAAAAAAACATGTCTGCAAAAGTGATACTTCTTTAAAAGTATATCTAAAATAAAAAAAACAACTACAGGTTCTCTTTAAAGGGTCCATTCACATTTTGCCGTTCTTGTGCACTGCGTTAATGCGAATTGCATTAAGGCAGTCCAATAAATTTTTATCAGTTGCCAACACACATGAACAACCAAAAAAAATGGACATGCACTATTTTTTTCCAAGGCAGTGAACCACAATGCATGGTAGTTCATCACCATGCTATGGGGTGCACAGTAGCGCATGTGCATTGGAGTGCAGCACAGAAGAGCAAATATTAATTTTTCACATGACTGTATGTAATAAACAATGTTATAGTTTAATTTCATTAATACCATACCAAATTATCAGCTTGAATCAAAATATGATTTAAAGAGCTTACATTGTTCATCCTTTGGGAATAGAAACTGTATGCATATATGTGTTATATATTGTGCTTTCCATTTATAAAGCATAAGTGACACAAGAGCAGATTTTTTTGTGTATATTGTGTGTGCGAATATTTCATTAAGTAATTTTAATAACAGGTTTTTTTTTAATACGCTGCATAATCACAGGCGATACTGAAACAATTAAAAGTATTATTAATTAGCAAAATTAATAACAGCAAATACAAAATCCTATCAAATACAAGGAGAAAAGTCCTTACAAATATGAAATCTCTGAATAAAAAAGTCCCAGCTCATTAAAAACCCATAAATAATACAAACATGCTTAGACACATGCAAACTTCTTGGTAAAAAGACTAAGTGCCTTCTGTTCGCTTGCAATAACAATATACTAGCTTTACAAAAATATGTGTCCCCTATAAAATATGAATTTCTAATCGACCATATGGTGTACCAACAAAAGAAAGAATGTTAGCTGCCCCTTAACGTGCAAAATGACTTGTGACCGATTATTGAAGTAAGGTATGGCGCTTCACATACATGCAAACAATATTCTGACTCTGGTATAAACATAGAAAACCTAAAGTGATGTAAATCAGCAAGTCCAAAAACAAAAGTCCCACACTAAATTGTGAAGCAGAAACAGTGCATAATCTTCTGGTGCCCCATATATTGCTTCATGCAGATCCTTTGTGCTCCAACACCATATGCCAGTACACTGCACTCACCAACCATCCATGACCTCTTAACTAAAAGAAGGTCTAATGCGCTTTGTGTCCCCAAGGGTTTGGAACATCAGTGTATATCTTCTCAATGGTCTACCAGTTTACTCCATATTCTGAGGTTATCAACAATCAGAAGGAGAACTTTCTCATAGTATAGTATATATATTGTAAAAATGGACAAAATCGACAAAATGTACACTTACATTAGTTGGTGCCCAATCCTCTGCACTAATACACTGAGCTCAAGTTGCTATCACTGCTCATCAATGGAGTTGGCATGCGTTCCATATACTGGAAACATATTTTAAAAATGTCTGTTTTCTATTTCCCTCCATCCACTCCTGAGGTTTACTCAGCCCTGCCACACAGCTCAACCTCGTCTAGCAGGGCTGAAAACCTAATTCTTTTCCTGCTGCAGTTAAAGAATATGTAAACCCAACATTCCATATTCCTGATATGTGTCTGCTGTACCATGTACTTGTATGAAAAGTATCCTGTTCTCTTTGTTGTGCTTCCTTTGTGTGAAATCCCTGGTGCTCCTGCCAGTCCCTTTGCTTTATTAGTAAAAAACTGACTACACTAGGCAGGAGAACACACCATGTCCAGTTCTCTAGCTATGCTGGGAACTCAGTCTGCACCCTTCCAATTATCAGACTTGCCCTGACACCCCCCAACAGAGAAGAGAGGGAATATGATCACTTATTATAAACCCCCCCTTTTCTTTTTATGTTTTTAAGTTCTGTTTTAAAGTGAATGGTTTCTTTTACAAGGTGAGGATTTAGAATCAATTTAAGTGATAAGGTAAGTCTTCTCCCTGCCCCCAGTCTGTGACTGGACAGTGAAGAAGTAGCACACTATTGGGCTCATCTTAGTCACTCTGCTCTTTACTCCTGTCAGAATGTCCCTTGTTAGCAAATGAGTGCTGTGGCAAAACTACTTTAAATGACTACTTATGCGGTTTCTTCCCCTACCAATCTGAGCTCTGCTGTCAGTATATCCAAAATGCAGAGTAGGACAAGGTTAAAACTGCTGTCTGTTTTTTTTTTTTTGTCACATCAGGGAGATTTCCCTTCACTTCCTGTTCTGTAGACTTAACCATTGTGGGGTTATATTTCCATGGCCAGGGATATCCATGCTTAGACAGTTGTCACAGGAACAAATATCTACATTGGAATATTTCCCAACTATTCCTGTTCTGGTGGCAATTCAAAATTCAGTAACCATGCACACTTTAACTGGTTCCCACCCGGCCAATAACAGAATAATGACTGGGCAGGCCTTTCTTCCCTCTGTGTGAACATCATATGACATCCTCCTGGTCACACCGCTCATGCGAGCCCCCGGGGACGTGCAGCACGGTGATCAGTGGTGACCTTACCCCTGACACAGCTCATCCCCAATCAGCGTAAAGAACCAATTTTGTTGGCTCTTTACCATATGATCAGATGTATCCAATCACAGCTGATCACATGTAAACAAAGGCTGGTTATCTGGGTATTTTCTTTCCTAAACGCTGTAACAACACTAAGGACCATCAGTGTAGCATATCAGTGAAGTCCCATTAAGGCCAATCCATGTCCATCAGTGCAGCATATCACTGCCCATTAGTGCCACCTATCAGTGCTCATCAGTGGCCATCAGTGGCCATCAGAGCTGCCGCATCAGTGCAGCCTCATCAGTGCCCAATAATGCAGCCTATCAGTGTCCATCAGTGCCCATCAGTGTAGCCTCATCAGTGCACATCAGTGAATTAGAAAATTTACTTATTTGCACATTTTTATAACAAACTAAAAGAAAAGTTGTTTTTTTTCAAAATTCTTGGTCCTTTTTCGTTTGTTTAGCAAAAATTTAAAAACCCCAGTGGTGAATAAATACCACCAAAAGAAAGTTCTATCTGCCTCAAAACAAATGATAAAAATTTTATTTGGGTACAGTGTTGAATGACTGCGCAATTGTCATCCAAAGTGTAACAGCACTAAAAGCTAAAAATTGGCCTGGGCAGGAAGGGAGTAAAACTTCCCGGTATTGAAGTGGTTAATTTTAGGTGACATTGGTGATAGAGACAAAAGAGAGGATGAATTTCCCTAAAGGGGACAAACACAGCAATATAAACCTGACTGTGGTTCTAAGACCTCACTATTGTACTCAAATCTTAAAAAAAAAGTTATGACTGTAGTTTTACTTTATTGATATTAATATTATTATTATTATACAGGATTTATATACGCCAACAGTTTGCTCAGCGCTTTACAAAATGAAGGCAGACATTATAGTTACAATGCAGAGGGCCCGGCTCATTAAAGCTTACTTTCTAAGAGGGAGGGTCAAGTGATACAAAAGGTAATAGCTGTGGGAGATGAGCTGATAGAGAAAGTAAAAACAGTGTATTAGTTAGATGCAGGATAGGCTTCTTTGAAGAGAAGGGTTTACAGGGACTGTCTGAAGGTGAATAGAATAAGAGATAGTCAGACAGACTGGGGTAGGGAGTTCCGTAGGATGGGAGAAGCTCAGGAGAAGTCCTGAAGGTGAACATGGGAGGAGGTGACAGAAGTAGAGAGCAGGAGGCCTTGGGAGGACCAAAGAGAATGGTTTGGTTTGATATCAGTTATGATATAGTAACCGCTTCCCGATCGCCCTATAGCAAAAATACTGATATAGGGCGGCCCCGGTGCGCAAAATCATGTGTATATATAAGTGATTTTGCATTTACAGGTAGGGGACGCACAGGCGTCCTACCGTGTCCTCATTCAAGCCCGCGGCTGTCAATCACCGGGTCCCGGCTGGTGATTACTCACCAGCGCCCGGTGATTACCAAGGATTTCCGATGGGGAGGGGAACGGATATGTTTACTACCAGTTTTCCTCCCTTTCAGCTCGAGCACACTGCTTTGGATGGCTGTGCACAGTACAGCCATCCAAAGCAGTGTGCTTACAGTGAAGCACACAGACACCACCCAAAGTAGTAAAACACACCCAGCACACAGTTAACCCTTTGATCACCCCTCATGTTAACCCCGTAGAACTGATCATTGTATTGTTGTCACTGGGAATGACACCAAGTCAGTTCCCCCCAGTGTCAGAATGTCTGCCGCAGTCCAGCAGTCCTGCTATAAGTCACTGATCTTTACTAGTTAATTAATAGTAAAAATAAAAAAAAAAACACAATATATATACCACCATTTGTAAACGCTATAACTTTCATGTAAACCAATTAATTTAAATGTATTGGGATTTTTTTTTTAGCAAAGACATGTAGCAGAATACATTTTGGCTTAAATTTATGACGAAATTTGATTTTTTAAATTTCTTTGCTGACATGTTTAATAGCAAAAAGTCAAAAATATTGTTTTTTTTTCTCAAAATTGTCAGTCTTTTTTTTTTTATAGCGTACAAAATTAAAAATGCACAGGCAATCAAATACCACCACAAGAAAGCTGCTGTGGGAAAAAAGGACGTCAATTTCATTTGGGTGCAGCGTTGCATGAATTGTCTGTTAAAGTAATGCAGCGCTGTAATGCAAAAAATGGCCTGGTCAGGAATGGGGGAACATCCTCAGGAGATTAAGCGGTTAATGAATATGCATGCATTCATTTGTGTCTTTCATATCTGCCTTAAGTTCAGCTTTAAGGCAAACGTCCATCTTTTAAGGAACCTATAACAATCCAGCAAGTTCTGGAATTGCTTGCAAGCATAGAACCCTAATTGTCCATTGCCTCTACTTCACCTCTTGCCACTAATGTGAAAATGGATCAAATAGTATGTTTCTTCACTTTACACACACAAAGTATTTTATGCATCAGGCACTGTGCCACAACACTTAGGCATTTGTTGTCCTAAAATGTTCATATAGAAAATTTAACGTGAATCTGGACACATATGGAAAAGTGAGCAGCAAAGAATAGACCCCTAATTGGTATTACATAAACTCAGAAAGCTTATATAGATTTTAAATTTCACCAGTTACAGTGGTAGAATATTTTGGCAGCTGTTTTGGATTTTAAGCTTTAAAAGTTTTCTGACCCTCTAAAACATATATATAAAAAAATAACAGAGACTGACAATATATTATGCATTGCTAAAAAAATCTTTAGAAAGTACAATAGTAGCTGACTGAGATGACTCAGGTTCATTTTTAAAATAGGGCGTTCTTGTAAAACATTTCAAGTGTGAACCAAAAGATTATATTCACATGGAGGAAAAAAATCTTGGGCTGGAATTTGCTCTCCAACTTAGTGTACTTTTCTCTGAAGTACATATCATCACAGTGAAAAAATAAAGTGTTACTACAAATAACATCAGCAGCTTGAGAACCAAGTCAGGTAATGCCTAGGCTTGCCATAGACTGGCAGCTGAAAACACAGATTGGACCCACTGGTAAAATCTTGCATTGTGGAACAATTGGGTTGTACAGTAATTCCTTGATATATATTATATGTCAATTACATACAATACGTCTATTATATATCAAGGGTCACATTTAACTTTCCTAGAAGCTGAAAAAAATTCATACCAGGGAGGGGGGCATTATTGTCTACAAGAAGGATCTGGAGGAGATATAGAGTACTCAGAAACACTACACAAAGGAACTTCGATTAGATAGGGATACTACATGTCTATTGAACATATTCTTAAAGGATAAGTTCAGTTTCAGTAACTTTAGAAATATCTAGTTACCAGCCACATCTATAGAGAATAATGTTTGTGTCAGTCTTCAGCTTGGGAGAAGGTCCATTTTTTTATGGCTGGGGAAAATGCAATATTTCAGAAGATACCAGAAGCACTGGATAGGATGGGCAATGAGATACTTAAAAATGTCCAAATACTATGCACACTGAATTTTTGAACAGGCAGTTTAAACATTTTTAATAAGCCCCACTGAGCTCTGTAGTTATAATCATTGTGGAGAAATTAGTCTTCAAAGTTCACAACACAGGCACGCCTTTTACATAAAAAGCATGTCTTGGCAGCCTGACAGTGGGCCCGTTCACACCAGAATGCGGAGTAGGAAAGGTATGTTTCCGTACACATGTCCCACACAACACAGAAACACACAGTCTTTGTTAGATGCATGCTGGTGTCATTAACTGTTAATTTCACCCCAAACGCATCTGCGTGTTTGCAGCCACCAAATTGCATGGTACCACAGTACCATTTTTAAAAGTCACATCTACTGTACTTTTTGTGTGTTCCTGTACACTTGACAGCCCAATGAAAGGAATGGACTATCAATAACAAAATGTGCAGCAACATACAAGAACCAGCACTGAAACTGAACTTTTGTGTCTTTGTTTTGATCTCTGAGAAGTAATTGCTTCACATTATAAGCAGCTAGAGAGATCAGAGATGGCTTTTTTTTTAAAGCTCTTACAACTTGTAAAGAATAAGTAAATAATTTAATGTTACTAGTTCATAGACACAGATGCACTTTAAGTCTCTATTTGTGGTAAGCACTTTAAGGAACTGATGAAAAGTGTTTAAAGAATCATTTCAATAAACAAAACTGAACGTATCACTTATATTTCTGACACATTAAAGTGTTACTAAACCCACAACAGTAAAATCAATCTGTATATGCAGTAAAGCCTGCTTGTTATACTCACTGTGGAACCTAAGCGGTTAATCCTCTGTATTGTGTAAAAAAGCCATTTGATCCTGTCTTCTCCGCCCCCACTCCTGTTCAAATGTCCACGTCTTATCTCCTGATAAGACAGACTGAACCCGTAGCCATTCTGCACATGCTCAGTTTAGCATGTATTGCTAGAGAGGTTTATTTTTTGTATGTGATCAGCACAGGGCCGATCAGCACTGTCGAGACAGAGATCAGGGGTTCTGCATCCTCCTAGAGCAGAAAGAAAAATCTCCTCCTACAAGCTGTAATCAGTGCTCTGCTGAACACTGATAGAAGCCACAAGACTACTATATATAGCTGATGAGAAAAGGTATTTAGCAGTTTACATTTACTAAAATAATCACATTTCCATATTCTGTGTACTGTGGGAGACCAGCTATAGTGACTGCATGATCCTGGGTTTTGCAATTAATAAATAAGCATAATTATCTTTTTAATGATACCTGAGCTTTTATTTAAGAAATCTGAAACACTTCAGGGTTATCTTAACAAAAGAATTCCATGCACAGAATTGCTGTCTAGTGTGTATGTATGTTGGGGCTGGTGGCTAATGCCTTCCACCAACTGCAGTTCTACTGTCATTTAAAAAAAAAAAACAAAAAAAAACACTTCTTTGAACTACGAGGAACAATTGTTCCACTAAGAGACTTTCCAGTTCTGCAGGTTGCATTATGATGCAGTAAGATGCCCATATCTCAGCCACTATATTTTTGCTTATTGTTGAGGGTATTTTTTGTGCAACAAATACAATAGTTTCCACCAAATAAATTTCCCAACACTATTTTGATGTCAGAAGGTGAAACAAGGACATGCTATGCTGATTTCACAAGCTTGGTAGAAACAAAAGAAATATGAAATCAGCAGCCAAAAAAAAAATACACTAACAGATTTGTTTTACTTTATGAACTATTACAGCCAACATACCTACTTGCCAGCACTGTTCCCAACTGGTTTCTGTCTTACCTTCCGTATTACCTTCAATTTATTTTTCAACTTTATATTTTTTTGCCTCTACAGATGTATCATTCAACAATTTCCTTTTTTGGTTACTGTCAGGTGCTGACAAAACTGCTAGAAGCTAAAAATGATCTTCATAAAGCTAGGAAGTAAATAAATACATTCATTATGTTGCTGCTTTGCAGAGACATTTCAGCCAGGCTTGCTGGTATCAAAGCAGGCAACTGAAGCCCCACACGGCAAAATGAGATCTCACATTCAGGCCCCGTGCTAGAAGCTTATGCTTGATTTTTTTTAGCATTAATAAAAACAGGCAAGGAGGAAAATAATCCTTTCACATTCCAAGCTTCTATTAATACGCCGGGTATCCAACGTTACCTTTTTAAGTTCGTAGCACGCAATGTTTTTTAAAGAAAAGCCAATTAAATGAACATCTGTGCTTACTGTGGTTGCCTAATCATACTGTTATAGTTGGAATAAATTTAACAACCAACAGTCATCACAGAATCTCTTTCATTTTCTCCAGTTAGTGGAAGAAAAAAAGAAAGGAGATTTTAATGGTGATGTGCTTCTAAAACAAGCAGATAAGCCAGTTCCTCTGTATATATTTAACCGTTTTAACTGGCTCTGCTTGGAACACATTTATGCTAAAGTAGATGACGAATCCAAAGTGAAGACAAGGACTAACCTTTCCTTTGTCAAGGTCAAGCGCGTAGCTGTTCATTACATTAATAGAATCAACAACTGTTTATAAAGTGGGATGGAAAAACATATTTGGACAATAAATTCACCAATAAACATAAGATTAATATCTTAGGTTCACAAAGAATTATTAAGCTAACAACCATTTATTCAAATATAGGTCCATTGAACGTGCCAACCAACATCTACTATTTATGTAGTAGGTAAGAAAAAAAACACAGGTCCATCAAGTTCAACCTCTGTGCGTGTGTATTTGGGAATTGTATGTGTATTGAATTTAAGAATCCCTGTAGCCCAGTATATTATGCTGACTGAGAAAATAATCTAGAAATTTTTTAATTTACCCACATTGTCCAACAATAAGTTGTATAATTCTATGATCAAGCTGTATTTCCTTTTAGTATCTTACTGACAGGAGGAAAGGGCACAGGGGTAACACCATCAGTGCTATCCAATCATAGGCAGTGTATTTCCATAACCCAACAGTATTGCTTTGATTGCAACAACGAAAGGTGAG